AATCCAATTAAACCTCATCTTCGCCTTGGGCCGACGTTGTTTAACCTTGTTAACCTAATCCTTCTCGAGCCATGATGGACACAGCTAATTATCTACAGCCTAACTGTTTGGGACAAGAGACGGATCGTTCGTGACTTTCCATCTGCGAGGAGAGAGGGTGCCAGACTTTCAGAGGGGTCAATGTGAATTTTTGTTAATTTATTGCAGTGATTGAAAGCCCATTTCAGAATGATGTTGTGTGGTGCTGACAGTCTCTTCACCTCATTTGATTAAGAGGCAATGCTTTAAGGGCTTGAAGTCACTGGCGTTTTAAATATCCACCAGGAATAGCCTTGGAGAGAAGAGGGTGCTTCTTTACAGTCAACTGCTGCCTGTAGAAAATAGAGTAAAATAAATTAAATTTTCTTTTTTTTTAAATAAAATACTTGTACTATGAAAATGTACTGTAAAGTTTAGAACTTCCTCCATACCAAATAAAAGAGCATTTACTGAAACAAAGTTACACAAACTGCTCATTCTGAATGTCTTCAACTTTCTAATATTATGTTTATATAAGACAAAGCTGCAGTTGAATTCAAAAGATCATAGAGATGGTGGAAAATGGTTTTAAAAAATAAATGACAAATGAAAAACAAAACAAAAAACTTTAGAACCACAGTAGGTGGACCTCAGGAAATAAAAAATCAATAATAATAATTTATTTTTATTTATTAATTTTTTTTATTTAACCAGAAAAGTGAAAGTGAAAGTGACGTGACATGTGGCCAAGTATGGTGACCCATACTAGGAATTAGGGCTCTGCATTTAACCCATCCTAAGTGCACACACACAGCAGTGATCTTTCACAGGAGTGTCCTGGCCAAAATCGGCAGCAATACAATCAGTTACATCACAGATTTACACAACACAAACAAACTAAAAACACTTAAAACAATTACATATCATTGAGTCATCTTCCATTTGCCGAATAACTGTTTTAAAATGATCCAAAGACAGCAAATTTTGTAATTTCAATTGAAGAAGTGATATCCAGTCAGACGGAGCTGCATACATAAAGGCCTTCTTACCTAGTTCAGATCGAACAAAAGGAACAGAGTATAACAATTTTGCGAACGAAGGAAATATTTCTCAACAATTTTCAACAAAGTTATACAAACACACACATATATATATATAGGCAATACAAAATGATATAATAACAAATGATAATTACAAATATATTTTAATTATATATATA